ACAAGAGGTTGCAAAAGAGAATGAGCAACTCAAGCAAGAAGTAGCTCGCCTCACCAAGGACTTGACTCAAATGAAAGGCAAGGCGAAGCAAACCCAACTTCATCAAGATAACATCGTCAAGGGAGTGAAGAAGCTTGATGAAGGACAAACCGTGGTTTGCTACGTGTGCCACAAAGAAGGTCACAAGTCCTATGAGTGCAAGGTGAAGAATGAGGGAGGAGCAAAGATGAAGGAAAAAAAGCAAACAAGCAAGCTCTCCAACACCTACACCAACAAGGTGGACAAGAAGGCCTCCACACCTTATCTCTTGAAGAAGAAGAAAAATGACAAGGTGGTGGCCATCAAGGTGAACAAGCAAGCAAACAATGGGGTCAAACGCTTTTGGGTGCCAAAGGAAATCATTTCCAACATGAAGAGCACCAAGAAGGTTTGGATCCCGAAAGGGAAGTAAGAAGTCCATCGGACCACGGGAATTTGGAGACTTGGCAAAGTATGGGTGCATTTCATGGGTGCATCATGATGGACAAAACCATTGCCAAGTGGGTTAGTGAATACTATGGACCCAAATTTCCTTCCCATGTTAGGTAACTAGATGTTATTGCTTTTAAATTGGTACATCTTGCAATTAGTTTTTCCTACAATTGATATCTTTAAGCATCTAGTTACTTTTCATGCCTAGGGTTGCATTTGCATGCTTATATCTTTTGTCATGCATACACTAGGTATTTCATATGGTAGGCTTGCTCGGTCTCATTTGTAACCCTTGGAGCAAACCTACATGGTTTAAAATTGCTTAGGAGCATGGCACATAGCTTGTCTTACTATTGTTTATCTAATATGTGCCAAAGTCCAAATTGTAGATAATTTTCTCCCAAATATCATCTTTCAAGTGGTATTTTGACTCCAAAATCAATTGTGCATGAGTACTACAAGTATTCCATGTCTCCATGCACAAATTTAGGGGAGGATCATCTACAAGATGGATGCTTTGAGACTAACACCTTTTCAAGTTTATCATGTGTGTAGTGGTCTCATTGCAAGGAAAATGGAGTCCCCAAGAGAAGCATCGTTCTTCAGTTGGCATCATCATGTTGATTTCATTTCATATTTATATGCTTTCTCCATGCATTATATAGATTAAACTCTCTCGTGCAACAATTTGCTAATTATGCATATGCTTTGCTTTCTACCATATGTATGCATATATTTAGTCTATATAATGCGAGAGTCAAATTTTGTGATCCATTTCACTCTATACACAAAGGATCATGAAATTTGACCCTCCCTTGTGCTACTAATGTCTTCCTTTTAGTGTTTGATGCCAAAGGGGAGAATTTGAAGGACCAAAGGCAAGCATCAAGTTGATGTCTACAAGTGGTAATGGTCCTGAGAAAGGGAGGAAAGTGAATTATGGATTAGTCTATGTAATGGGAATTTTTTTAAACAAGATAGGCTCTAATCCATAATATCACATGGGGACATTTGCAAGGGCAAGACATGCTTTTGAGTAAAGTTTTAATTGGTATCTATCAATTAGTATCATATAACCTTGCTCTTTGCATTGCATCCTAGCAAGTAGATAATTTTAAATTTAAATTTTTATCATTTGCTTGCTTTGGTCGTGTTGTCATCAATCACCAAAAAGGGGAGATTGTAAGGAAAATGGATCCTTGACCCATTTACTTTGGATTTTGGTGTTTGATGACCAACACAACCAAATTGGACTAATGAATTTGCAAGTGTTGTGTTGTAGTCCAATAGGGTGCAAGACGTGACTTTGACGAAGGCGACGTGATGATCCGATGATCAACACCTCAAGCAAGACCTTAGAAGCACAAGAAAAGACCCAAGATGTCAAGCAAAGTCCAAGCATGAAGATAGGAACCAAGCCGCGCGCAAGATCGCAAAGAAACGAAGTCAGAGAGGCGATCGGACGCCGGACCGGGACTGGAAGCGTGACTAGGACGCTGGACCGGTGGTTTCGGCAGACAAAGACCGGACATAAGGACCGGACGCGGCTGGCGGAACCGACCGGACGCAGGAACGCGTCCGTCCGATCGAGTACGAGAGGGTTCCAGCGCTGAATCGCGACCGGACGACGCGTCTGTGAGAAGCGCGACCGACGCCGGCAAGCGTCCGATCGGTAGTTCGCGCTACTAACAGTCGGGACGACCGGACGCGTCTCGGTCAGACGATTCGGCGTCCGGCCGAAGATGGCGTAATTGCGGGAGTTCGACCCCAACGGCTACTTTTCTCGATGGGGCTTATAAATACAACCCCAACCGCCATTTGTGTGGAGTGGAGCCGAGAAACATATCAAGAGTGTTGATACACCATTTGAGTGATCTCCACATGCATAGTGCTTAGTGTTTTATTAGGTGATTAGCATAAGTGCTTTGCTGAAGTGCTTAGGTTGATTAGACCATCGCTTATGCGCTTGCTCTAGGTGTTTGCCTAGTGTTTAAGTGAGGTTTGCATACCTCTGCCACCCCGTGCTTGTGAGCACAAGTGTTGTACATCGGAGGGGCTTGAAGTCTTGCGAGATCACACCAACGCGTTTGTGGTGTGGCCGCCACCGTGTACCGAGAGGAACAAGGCCCATGCGCGTTTTGGCCGAAAGCTTGATAGTGAAGACGGCGGGAGCATCCGGGAGAGGCTTGCCGGAAGGCACATCGGAGACCCACTTGCGTGGGGAAGGCCCGAGGCTATCCACGGAGTTACCCGGACCGGGAGCTTGGCCTTGCGAGGGATTCCATGCGAGGGGCTCCAACGAGGACTAGGGGAAGCTTGCGGCGCTTCTCGATACCTCGGTAAAAATACCGAGTCGTCGACGGGAGTTTGCATATCTCTACCTTGCTCTTTAAGCTTCCGCATTTACATTGATCATATTATTATCATTTGCGGTAGAGATAGCAACACACTAGCAAAACCGTAGTTGCACATCTAGATAGATTATCTTTTGCATAGGTTTTGCTAGAAGTAGAAAAAGAGGCCATAGTTTAGAGTTAGTTTTTAAGTTGCCTAATTCACCCCCCCTCTTAGGCGTCCACGTGTCCTTCAGATTCTACTCGAATCGCCCAGGGGCTCGGGGCCTCTTGTCGGCTTCATAAACCCGGGGTCCCTTATGGATTGGCTTCCCAGCAAAGACTCGGCCCAACAGACAACGTTGCGAAACCAACGTGCAAGTCTTAGGCCGGCCCAAGTACCTAAAACGACAGGCCAGAAGGGCGATCCAATCTTCGACCGGAAGGCCTGGCTGAGGAGGAACGACGCCCACCTCCGACTCTGGCCCGCCTCTCCGACCGGAGCGCTCGCTTTGGTCTGCCGCTCGCCTCCGTACGACCTCTCCGACCGGAAGGCCTGGCCAAAACACCGCTTTCGACTCCGATTCGTTTCTCCGACCGAGAATGCGTCGAACCTCTGCTCACTGCTCTTCTTCAACTGGCGCATTCAGAGCCGACTAGTACTAACCGACCGGAGACGCCCGCTCGGTAAGGACTGGAAAACGGACGGAGAGAGTAAGGCAGGACACTTAAGTCAACCGTAATACCAAGAACCGTATCCTGTACACATGCAGGACAGTACCCTGCGACCTCCGTGACATGACAGAACGCAAGCAGTGTTGTAGGTGCCAATATTTTCTCCTACAGCGTTGTGGGCACCATCAACTCCTATACCAGACAAATACGGTAAGCTCCCCCCACGTGCCTCTGAGACATTAACAGTGTTGTGGACGTCGGCATTTACCGTACCAGGCGAATATGGTAAAACCCCTTACATGCCTCTAGGTATCAACAGTGTGGTAGACATCGACGTCTGCCATACCTGGAGAAGACGACGTAACCTCCCACGTGCATCTGACATTAAACACTATTGGGGACGACTACCATCATCTTGTACCCGTCGGCATGGGTAGCAAGACTTTGCAGCATACGTACTCTCTCCCTCTCATTTGTAAGGCCATTCCCTTCATCTATAAAAGAGGATAAGCTCTCTTCCAACAGAAGGATCGATCAAGTTCACTAGCATACAACAACAGAACCACCAAGTTCAAACCACGAGCACATGCTCGAACACTTAGCACACAGCGGAGCTCTCGTCACTCTCGGTCTCTCTGATCAAAGTCCGACCGGACCTCTTGTACTCATATCTTTCTCCTTTTCGTTTGTAACCCCACTGCAAACTTCGAGCACCTGGACTCATGAATAAAGTCACTGACCGCTTTAAACTGGACGTAGGGCACGTTGGCTGGACCAGTATAAACCCTGTGTTATTGAGTGCTAGGCCACCTCCGATTACAACATACGGTAAAACTACAAATATTTACGTGTTGATCACTTTCTACACCGACAAGCCCTGTTATTTCAAATTCCAAAATAGATTTGGATTTCGAAGGTTTCAAAGAACCAGAATTCACCTCGACGCATTTTCCTTTCAGAAGCACAATAAGGGGTTGTTTGGTTCCTTAAACCCAATTTTAATCCCTGTTCCGTCGGATGTTTGACACATGCATAGAGTATTAAATATAGACTAAAAAATAACTAATTACACATATTGCGACTAATTTGTGAGACGATTTTTTTAAACCTAATTAGTTTATGATTTGACAATATGGTGCTACAGTACATATGCGCTAATGACGGATTAATTAGGCTTAATAAATTCGTCTCGTAAATTAGTTCTTATCTGTGTAATTAGTTTTATAATTAACTTATATTTAATCATTCTAATTAACATCCGAACGTATGATGTGACATGAACTAAAATTTAATCCGTGGAACAAACGCATCCTAAAAATTGAGCAATTGACCTTTGAGAAGCGTGGCAGCGAGGCGTCGGTATAAACACGGACGGATCGCGCGAATACACGAATCCCGTCGGCAAGGAAAGCAGAACTCCCCGTCCCCGCTCCCCCAAACTGTTCGGACCGGACGCGTCTCTCCGAACTTCTTGCGGCGGAAGAAAGAGAAGCCGGGGAGAGGAGTCGCGGCTCCCGACACATGTGGCGGCGCGCGGCGACGGCGGCGCTGTCGCTGGGCGCCGGTGCCGGCGCGGTCGCGGTCGCCACCTCTGAGGACCCCGCCGCGACGCTCAAGGTCTGCGCGCACCTGCCTCCGCGCCTCCTCCGCGACTCCGTCACGGCCGCCACCATCGCGTTCGACTACAAGTGGTCCCTTTGGGGCCTCGAGCCGGGCACCCCGGCGTGGCAGAGCGCCAAGCACCACGCTCACCTCCGCTCCGCCAACCGACTCCAGGAGCTCTGCTTCCGCAACGGCGGCATCTACATCAAGCTCGGCCAGCACATCGCTCAGCTGGTTCGGAATTTGCCTCTGCTGGACTTGTTTCTAGTGATGCGTGTGATTCAATTGTAGAATGACGTTGATACGATCATTCTCTGATTGGTGATTGCCTATGACAAAACTTGATATTTTGCCTGTTGGCATGTTTATTTTTGCTTGTTTTAGGAGTATGTCGTGCCGGAGGAGTACGTGCAGACAATGAGGGAATCGATGCTGAAGAGGTGCCCGGTCTCATCGTACGAGCAGGTCCGCGGGGTGTTTGCCAAGGATCTCGGTGAATCGCCAGAAACTGTAAGTGTCTTGTCTGCGTCCTCTTTGCATTACTGTTTTGAGCAGTACAACTGCTTGTAGAAAGGCTGCAGGAGCTGAAGTGCTGAGCAAATTACTGATGGTGTATTATTGATCTTATATGTTTAGCGGCCCCAGAGCTCTGATGCTAGCGTCAAATAATGGATTTGCCGACCAGAGCACAGCATGTTGACTTGGGAAAATTCTGACCTTAATTTTTCCTTTTCTCCTTTCTATTTGTGTGTAGGTTTTTGCAGAATTTGATCCTGTCCCACTTGCAAGTGCTTCCCTTGCACAAGTCCATGCTGCCCGAACTCACGATGGGCAAAAAGTTGCCGTTAAGGTTGGGTTTTAAGGAACAATTGCGGTCTCCCTGAATAAATTATAGCAGTAGAGGTTAAACTAACCTTGTTTTCTTCCTCACACTGTATCCTCCTATCTTGATATCCAGGTTCAGCATGACCACCTCAGGGATACTGGTGTTGTAGATATAGCCACTGTGGATTTGTTAGTGAATGCTCTGCATTATATTTTCCCTACATTTGACTACAGGTATTACTTGTGAATGGTAGCATCTTTCTCTTGTTATCTTGTTTGGTTTCTTGTGTTTGATTTTTAGCAATGTGCACAAACCGGTAGCAAGAGAAAGCACACCCTAGAGGATTGTCATCACTGTTAGTCAAACAAGGTGGTAAATTTCCTGAATTTACTTGCTTTACAGCTTTAATTATCAATTCGAAATTGAAATTTTGGTCTCCAAGCCCCCAGGTTATCCAGTAATTGAGGACATGTTTGGTGTTCTTCATAAAAGGATACAACAACAACAACAACAACAATCCTAAGCAAGTTGGGGTAGGCTAGAGTTGAAACCCACGAAGAGACCCTAGTCACGGTTCAGGCACTTCAATAGCTGCTTTCCAAGCACTTCTATTGAAACATAGATCTCTAGGTATATTCCAAACTTTCAAATCTTTTTTTATTGTCTCCCTCCATGTCAATTTCGGTCTATCTCTACCTCTCCTCACATTATTAGCTTGGCTTAGGACTCCACAATGCACTGGTGCCTCTGAAGGTCTCCTTTGGACATGACCAAACCACCTCAGCCGATATTGGACAAGCTTTTCTTCAATTGGTGCTACCCCTAGGCGGTCACGTATATCATCGTTCCTGACTCGGTCCATTCTTGTGTGATCACAAATCCATCGCAACATACATATTTTTGCAACACTCAGTTGTTGAACATGTCGAAACTTTATAGGCCAACATTCTGCTCCATACAACATAGTTGGTCTAATCGCCGTTCTATAAAACTTGCCTTTTAACTTTTGTGGCACCCTCTTGTCATAAAGAATGCCAGAAGCTTGTCGCCACGTGATCCACCCTGCTTTGATTCTATGGCTAACGTCCGCATTAATATCTCCATTCCTCTGTAGCATCAATCCTAGATAATGAAAGATATCCTTCTTAGGCACTACTTGACCTTCCAAACTCACATCTCCCTCCTCCTGTGCAGCTCCGCCAAAGTCACATCTCATGTATTCGGTTTTAGTTCTGCTTAATCTAAAACCTTTAGACTCAAGAGTCTGCCGTCACAACTCTAGTTTTCTATTTACTCCCGCCTGGCTTTCGTCCACTAGCACTACATCATCAACGAATAACATACCCCAAGGGATATCCCCTTGAATGTTCCTGGTAACCTCATCCATTACCAAAGCAAAGAGGTACGGGCTCAAGGCTGACCCTTGATGAAGTCCTATTTTAATCGGGAAGTAAGATGTGTTACCATCATTTGTTCGAACACTAGTCACAGCATTGTTGTACATGTCCTTGATGAGGGTCACGTACTTTGATGGGACTTTGTTTTTGTCCAAAGCCCACCACATAACATTTCTTGGTATCTTGTCATAAGCCTTCTCCAAGTCAATGAAAACCATGTGTAGGTCCTTCTTCTGCTCTCTGAACCGCTCCATAACTTTTCTTATTAGGAAGATTGCTTCTGTGGTTGACCTTAGAGTAAATATTCCAGATTGGACAATGATATGTTTTACTATTTATGTAGTTCCTAATAGATACACGCGTATTCATCTGATTTTTAAGGCAGTCAGTTATATTTCGTGATCTTACATCAAGCTTGATATCTATTTGTATGTTGGAATAGTTGGCCCTAGCTCTTTGTTGCTTTGCCGGATTCGCATGCATAACTTAACCTAATGTTATGTCAATGTGACTGTAAATCCTTGATTGCAATGCTACTTGTTTAGTTTTCACGCAGAGTTCATTTTACATTATTGCCAAATAACTGCTTCCATGCAGGTGGTTAGTTGATGAAGTTCGAGAAAGTGCCCCTAAGGTACCTTCCTAGTCTTGCCTGGAAATATAAGTTCTTTGTGATTGACTCATGGATTTTATCTTTCTTTTTGTTTGTTACAAAATGAGTTAACCCTTTGTTCTCATCTGTCATAATTGTTGTCTATTAATGGCTATGATTGTCCCCTGTTAAAATTAAGTTTTGTGCTAGTCAATATTCTTTCCAATAGTATCTTCATTTCAAACTTGAATTTTTATGCAATTTAGGGGGAACGAAAATAATAATAGAAAAATTGGAGCTGGTGCTAACTTGCTGTTATGATTCTCAGGAACTGGATTTCTTGAATGAGGCCAAAAACAGCGAAAAATGTTTGGATAACTTTAGAAGGTTGTCTCCTCAGGTTGCTGGTAGCATATATGCCCCCAAGGTTTATTGGAATCTCAGCACATCTAGAATTCTCACCATGGAGTTTATGGATGCCAAGGAGGTAACTGATGTTAATGGCATTAAATCAATTGGAGTTCACCCTGTTGATGTTTCAAACCTAGTAAGTTGCCACAGTACACCCATTTGATTAATCATGCCTGTGATATGTTACAAATACTCACCTCTTTTAGATGTCTAGGTCAGTAAAGCATTTGCTGAGATGATTTTCAAGCATGGTTTTGTTCATTGTGATCCCCATGCTGCCAATATGATGGTCCAACCAATGCCACAAGACAACAGAAAACTTTTTGGTGAGAACCTTTATATCTAGCATCTCAAACTAAACCAAAGATGCATGTAGAATGCCTTTTACTTACTGAAACACATCGGATGTCGTTTGTCTGAAACATAACAATTCGACAATTAACTGAATGATTCTTCTATAGTTTGGTTTTTAAAGCAGTGCATGGTATTGATGTCTAGTTATTACGTAGATAACTAGCAGAGTTTCTCTATAAATAATGGCAGGTTGTTTCATCATGCCACAATAAAATATGCTCTACTGAGTGAGATGGAGATGTGTGAGATGTGCAAGTGTAGAAGTGGTTCTTTATTTTATAAGTCGTTCTTTCTATGTGGCAACACCACCTTTCTCTGTCCAACATTTTATATGTGTGGGATAGGTCATCCAAAGCATTATGATGGCTAAGTTTTTTTTTTAAACTTAATGGCTAAGTTCCTAACAAATATCACTTCAATGTAGGTTGGAAGAGGCCACAACTAGTTCTTCTTGATCATGGACTTTACAAAGAGCTTGATTATAATACTAGGATAAGCTACGCTTCTCTTTGGAAGGTAACAATGCTATTACAGTTTCTTGAGTATTTCTTTGATTACAAGTAGCTGGTACTAAATATTTTCTGCGACATTTGGTCAACTCAGGCGCTTGTTTTTGCCGATGCAAAAGCAATTAAGGAGAACAGTGTCAAACTGGGTGCTGGGGAGGATCTTCATGCACTCTTTGCTGGTGTTCTCACTATGAGGCCATGGAAAAGGGTGATTGACCCATCTCCTGATCATCTTGTCTTAGGGAAAAATACTGATTATTCAGAACTACAGGTATAGATGTTCTACAATTTTGTGTTCCCAATGGTCATCCATGGTACCATCGCAAATGCAATGATGCAAATGGACTATGTTGTTAAACAGTGTAACAGTATCTGTAGGGCCATGAGCTCATGAACCTAGCATGCAGTTCTAGAAAGACTCTGATATTGCTGATTGTGGTTTGATTGTTGTTCATCAAATTAACAGGTCTTCGAATCTTAACATGATCAACAAATAGAAAACAGACTACAAACTTTACTTGAAATATATATAGCAGCCCACACTCTAAAATGGGATGAAAGGAATACATATTCCTTAGATAATGTTTTACTTGAAATCTAAACCTACTTCTCACGTCAACTATTAGGGTTTAAAGTCTTTGATGTTCCCAATATAGAGTATATAGGCGGATATTCTCCTTGTTCATTAGTTATATTATTTTGTATTTTTATATTCTTTTCTTGCTTGTATAGCATGTATCCTAGTGTTAGATAATTGCACTTAGGTCCGTTTGTTAAGTTTTTTATTTTATAAACCTGTCAGTAGAGTCTTGTAGACATTGAGGTCCTTGGTATCTGTCCTTACTCGATTACTTATTCCTTGAGCCCAGAATTACGCCTCCTTGTATTTTACTGAGATCTCGGAGCTGCTGAGGAGATTACCGAGGGTTATATTGTTGATGCTTAAAACAAATGACTGTTTACGTGCAGTCAATCATGCCCTGGTAAGCGTTTGGAAGTGCTAGCAATCTAGTTAAATATATTTCTTCTCGTTTTTCTATTCTAGAATATAAATGTTTGGGTCTGCTACTTTCATTACCAAATTGCTTTTCCTTTCACTTTTCTATAGCCACTGCTTTTAAAAAGGGAAGCATGGGATTGAGCTTGAGGGTTTGTTCATTATAGATGCTACATGGGCTTGGAATTTCTGTAGCGTGGGGCAGTAATCAGCAATTGATTACAGAGGATAAATATGCTTTTTTTTTCTTTTTATACAATTCTAATAGCCTATCACTATGCATGCTTTTCCCTTTATATATGCCAAGGGTAAATTCAATCTTTACTCTTGTTTAAGTTTTATATTTGGAACTGGGATGTGAAAAACTAACGCAAATTGATTTGGCCCCATTGCTAACTTGTGACCTCCTTTGACAGGTTGGAGGCACTTCCTTGGAGTCGTTTATGATCATTGGACGGGTATCTTCTGAAGCTGTGCTGGAGGCTAAAAGGATGAACAGAAGGTCCTTTCTAGATGGATTGGTGATATGGCTGGAGGTAGTCCTGCTGGAAGCTCGATTCTTTAGTTTGAAGCTGATGCTATGTGTTATGCAACTTAGGAAGTTGTTGCCTGGCTAAAAGCAGTTAGGCGTATCAGCAGCATTTTTTGACCGGTAGAACTGCGAAGTTGACATCTAGTTCCATATCTTTTTGAGAGCGAAACTTGGCATTTTGCTTAGAAGATTGCCGTTCTTTTCGTATACATAATTCTTTTGTTGACCATTGTCTCACCATGATTGGTCATTTTGCATGATCAATACTTGATACCTTCATTCTGATGGGTGAATACAAGTATACATAAACTGCTGCCGTGGACAAATGTAAGAGCAAAACTGTTTTTTTGGAAGGGAATCAACATTGATATGGAGTAAATTTGATTCGATGAGAAAATTAACTGCAGATTATTAATTTTTCTTTTTCACTCTGCAATCTCTGTACTTTTACAATGAAGCACTAATTCAGGGGGGCAACTGCGGCTGCCTAACTTTTTATGATGAATCAAGAACAATTCAAGAAGGCAACTGTGCAAAGCGAGGTTGGTTATCTTCGCCGTGCATCCGTGGTCGAGGGAAATGGTCCGGGATGGCTTAGCAACAGAAGAAAAAGACGTTTTTTTCTTAAGTTATTAAAAAAGTTCCATCTTGGACCAATTTTTTATATAGAATAATACATTAACATATACCAGAAATAGCTTTGACTTAAAAAGGATAGATAGAGGGTGTACTCCATCTTGAAAAACACTGCAAATAAAAACATCCATTGCTAGCACTGCGGCAGCGGCAGAGTGGCTGCAGATACAGACAAAACACACAAGCTTACATAAAAATGCTGCATCGCTAAGAAATTATGAGATTTCACAATTTAGTAAATTTCGTTGCACCGTTGCATGAAATGTTCAACTAGGTCTACGGAATTTATCAAAAAAAAAAAAAAAAACTAGGTCCATGGAATCTTGTTATATGTCTCTCTGCAAGCTAGTCTCAGCGCCGAACAGCGCCGAACAGCTGCGCCAAAGGTATCTGGCAGTCGTCGTCCGTCGCAGGACTGGCGATCTCTCATCTCCGCCGCCACCACCACCGACACCGACTGGTGGTCGCTTCCGGTGCTTCCTCATGTGCCCACCGAGTGCGCGCCCTGTGATGCATTCCGTTCCACACACCTTGCACTTGTACCGCGTCCTGCACACGTTGCCGTTGCCATTGGCACCCTCGTCGCACGTTCCAGCGCCGCCGACCTTACGGTTGGGGCTTGCTGCACCATTGTCCATCTTCCCGTCGCTTCTGGAGTTGCCATCGGTGAGGCCATGGCCTGATACACAGAAACCGTCGTTGCCAATGGCATCGTCATGGCTTCCTGCAAACACGGGCTCCCGAACGCCGCCGTTTCCCTTGCCATGGACCTTTCTCTGCCTTTTGTGCCGAGCTCTGTCGACATCCTCATCGCCATGCTCTGCCGTGTCGTCGACGGTCTTCCCCTCATCGCTGCTGCCGTCGCCATTGGCTTTCCCACGGCGCGCTGCCACTAGGTCCTTCTTGTCGGCCTGGACAATTCTATTGGCAGCCTCCTCGGTCGCCTCCATCGCGGCAGATTCCTCACCGGCATCGTCGGCGTCGAGAATTGCTCCTGCGGCAATGGCGATCTTGGTTCTCTTCCGGTGTCCGAGGACATGTCCCCCGAGCGCCTGGTGGCTATCGAAGCACCTGTCGCATAGGCTGCAGGGAAAGCGCCCCGAGGTTGCGGTTGCGCCGGACGACGCGCCTGCAGTCTTTGCCGCCGCCGCCGCCGCCACATCGTCCCGATCGCCATCCGCCTCGCCGCCCGGACTCCTGCTTCTCTTGCCGTACGCAGCCCGCTTCTTCTTTGTCGCGTTCTTGGCTTCTCCTTGCTCTTTTGGAGCGCGATGCTCGTGCGCCTTCTCGTGGCTCCCCTCGCTCCCGGACTCCCCGGCCCGCGGCGAGGACGACTCCGAACCGCTCGGTGGCGTCTGCACCGCCAGCGGCGACGCGATAATCAGTTCGAGCCGGGCGTTCTTGGTCGGCGGCGGGGCATCGTCGTCGTCCAAGATCTCCCGGAGAGGCCTCTTCTTCGTCTTCCGGACGCCTCCTTCCGATTCTTCTTCCCCCGCCGTTCCATCATCGTCATCGCCGTCATTCGCAGAGCTCGCGTCGCGATCGTCCTCCGCGTGGCGGCCCGGGGGCGCGGGCTGGCGCGCGAGGAACACGTAGCGGTCGACGTCCTCGTCGTCGGAGTCGGAATCAGAGTAGTAGTAGTCCTGCTCCTCGACCACCACCATCTCGTCAGCTTCCTTGCTGCGGAGTCCTAGCGGCAGAACGATCTGGCGGCGGCGCAGATCCGTGGAGCAAGACGGAAACCGAGCACTAGTACTACTAGCCTGCTGTGGCGCGCGCGTGTGGAAGCTGCTTAGGCAGGCGGCCTAGGGATTGTTGCTGTGTGGAGCGATGAGCCGTGCAGCCGCACGCAGCGCAGGGGCATGCTATTTTAGGTGCGGCTGCGGCCGTGGGCTGGAAGTGGGGCGAGAAAAGTAGGGCCTGCCGCTCGACCTCAACTCGGATTCGACCTGGGCGTTGCTACCTCGGAGAGTCGACGGCCAGTTGGATGGAGCCGAGTAATTTGGCCCAAGTACAAATCTACTCGTCGTTCTCATTTCTCAGCGCTAGGGAACCCCTCCTCTCTCTCTCCGACTCTTCGCATGGGCGACACACTGAAGCCAGGATAAATGGACGAGAAAACCCTAGCACCTCCGTCCGCTGCCCCCCAGCTGCGTGCCACGTGCCACGTGCCTTGTCCGTCGGCCCCCGGCTCACCCTTGGTCGAACAACGTAAAACACTTGTAACATGAAATGCAAAAACAGACGAAACAGTTGGAATATGCTCTTGCAACATTTGTGTGAAGCACATGAAACTTCCAAAATAAAATACTTGCAACTTACAACATGAAACCACTTGCCGTAACATAAAGACTGAAATATTTGGAACATACTGTTGCAACATATGCAACATCCAGTTAAAAAACGATTGCAACATATGTCTAAAAACTGATGAAACATTTTGAACAAACACTTACAGCAAGTCTCTGAAACACTTGCAACATCCCTTGATCTACTTTTGCAACATCAAGGTGAAACAATTGTAACATACATCTGAAACGCCTGAAACACTTGAAACATACATATGCAACATAGGGAAGGGGAATGTCGGGCCGGTTGATTCCGGCCATCGGGGTTAGAGCCGGTGGTGAGCCGCGCCGCGCGTGCACCACTAGCACCGCGCCGCGCTTGTGGGTGCCCTTGGCTTGGCTGGGGAAGACATGAGGCGCTAAGGCACATGCGCCCTAGCGGCCATGGCGGGGTCAGCAGCGTGCGCGACATGCCGACAGCAACGGGAGACGGACGGTCCGACAACGAGGGAGCTAGCGGCATAGGTGTCTGGGACGGCCGACGATGGGGCGCAGGGCGGTGGGGCACGACGCATTAGCCGATGAGCGCACGGTGGGGGTAGGGGCACGGACGAATGAGTGGCTACGCTGTTGCGTGGGCGTCGGACAGATAAGGATGAACGAGTGTGGATTCGTTTTTCTGTTTTTGAGATAGATGGAGAGATGAGGCCCGCTCCTGCGGAGCTGTATTCGGACGGGAGTCACGGACGGATGAATGTGGCTTATCATTACCGTTTGACATTTCTAGGTTCGTAACTTTTACTATGTATCTAGACATCACATAGGTTTATGTGCATAGCAAAAGTCATGAACCGAAAAAAGCAAAAACGTCATATAATTTGAATGGAGGGAGTAAATCATAAACATATGTCATCAGTTCGATAGGATATAATAATCATTGTGTTCATCCGGTCTCTTCTATTTTCTAAGAAAAATCCACCTTTTTCATTATGAAAATAGTTTAAATGACCTCATATAGATGTCTTCTAAATTATGTTCATATACTATTATGAAAAATAACTTAAAATAACTCCCAATCTTCATCTAAATTACCAACTCATTAAGAGATAACCAGTCGGCTGACCAGCACATTAGGAAAAATAGGGATCGAGAGAAAGTTTGCAAACTGTGTGGTCAGGATGAGACCGCTGACCGTGTTTTGTTATGTGACACTATCCAAGAGTACCTGTGGGCTCTTTAGATATGCTCTAGCCCTTATTGATAGTGGCGGATCCAAGATTTGAACCCAGGATATATCTAGCAAAAAAAATATCTCATATTCAATATGTTAATATAGTCCAAGATATAATCTAGATCCAGTGATACCAAGCGCAAACGAGCATCATCCGAGTGGAGGGATGATATGAAGACCGAAGTACTTAAAATTGTTGGACTTTTTTAGTTTGGACTTAAATCACACTAGTACTAATGATTTTGGCTAAAATCTAGAGAGGCCTACCAGGACTAGGGCTGGTCCGCCCATGCTTATTGACAGTTCCCGCTCTTTACAGCGAATCCTTGAACTAGTTTTGTTCAAGGGGGAGAGCAACAAAACAAATTTCTCATTTTGCTTTTGAACATGTGTGTTAGAATCTTTGGCCAACCTATAACGATCTTTTCAAATGTGGCTTCGGCTTCTAGACCAAAACAACTTCGGCACCATCTTTTTTTCTTTTTGCTTAGTTATGGCTTCACGAGCCGTTTTCGTGTATGTACCGTTTGACAGGGTTTTGATTAAACCAGTGGAGAAGGCCCAGCAAAAGCCTTACGTAGCCAGCTGATATATAGTTGAGGTGGAGCAAGAAAAAAAAAATTCACACGTTCTCCCTTGGTCTCCTCGCATAGGCTTTATCCTTTCCTCTGTCAATACGAAATAGTAGTGAATGCTTGTCGCTAACCAACATGCAAGACTCAGCTATATAGCTAAGTAGCTGGCCATTAGACACGCCACTACTAAAAACCAAGATTTTCCTGTCGTTAGGCCTCCACCGGCAGAAAAAATACGGATTTGTCTGTCCGGTGGTCACTGACCGACATAAAAATGCAATAACTTTTCTGTGTGGGTTGTGTACCGATAGGAAAAATAATTTCTCTATCGGTTTGAATAGTACACACAAAAATATATTTATTTTATGCCAGTGCATATATTTTTTTGTCGGTTTTTTTGCTAGACACAAAAAAAAAATCCACAAAATGCTCCGCCGAGCATGCGCACCAAACAGAATGCCAAAATGCCTCCTCCCACGCGTCATGCTCAATGCTCGGTACAACAAAAAAAAGTCGGAGCTCTTGTTGCCATATGCTATCTGTCCACCACCACAGTCGGAGTGTCCTCCACTCTAAGTTTTCTTCTAAGCTCAAAGATGGACAATATCATTAGAGAGAACCAAGCGTTCACACTTAACAGAATGAAAGTGATGTGCTTTCAAGTATCAACCAGGGATTTGGCCATTTGGAAAAAAATGGCAAAAAATCTCGGACCTTATCAAAATTGGTGAATGTAGGAAATTTTAGACTAGGGTTCACTTATCTTGACCGTCAAAATGTTCAATTTTAGCTAATATTGACTGAAATTTGAACAAAAATTGATAAAAAAAACAACAAAGAGGAAACAAATGGATGACAGTTTGATAAATTTGTACATTTATATCGAATTGAAGGAAGAACTTGTGGGTTTGTTTGAACTCTAGACTAGACAAACAATTTAGTTTTTGCCAGATTTTTTTGACTGGTACGATGTTGTTTTGGACCTCACCAAGATGGATGAATATCAGCTGTGTACTAATGTTAGTAACTTACCCTCTTCCACTTGTTGATATATATCAGTTGTTTCTATTTTTATGGCTGTTAAGATGGCAGAAAAATAGTGTAGTGTTTTCCCTTTTTTATTCTTGGATCTTTCAGTTTTGCCCCAACCACCTTCTGATTGGTTACTGTTGGTATTTATTAAGTGCAAATAGAATATGAAGGATTCCGTAAGCACACATAATACCATTGTAGCATTTTACCGAGAGTATTCAATGTATCGTTATTTATATTTTACCATAGGGAAACAATGGAGCAAATATTTATAGAATAATAAAGGAGTAACTACTAATCAACATACCAGCATAGCTAGAGCAGAGGTAAATGTAATGATAGGAATTAAGTATAATGACACTCAGAAGATATATCTGTGAATCATATAGATTGATAACTTGAGAGCATAAGAGTGAGATAGATTCCTATGATATTCTTACTACATATGTACTTAGTCATAGCAAAAGATTAACTTCATGTTCATGCATAGGGGACATTACTAGGGAGGAGTATATACAGAGTATGCTATCTCCGTCACAACACGCGTCTTGCTTAGCCTACAGACGGGAGGTGGATTATAGAGGACTCAATAGGGCTGTCACCCCCGCGATCTACCACACGATCCGAAGTGTAGGCTGCCTCCGAGGCACTACTGTGTATAAACACCACGTTTACACAAAGTCTGCTACTTAACTTGATCGATTACAAGCTAAGCGCTCCGTGGTCCTATACATAAGCATAAAGATAACTTTGACTACTTCTAAGTATATAATCAATGTAAACATAACCATATAGATAAGAATGTAAGCATTGAAGTCTCATAATATGATATGAAAGTGTAGATACAATGGCTTACCAAGCCTCCGAGACTGGATCCAGAATCTAGACATGAATCCACTCAATCTTAACTCTCAAGATACTAATCTACTACATTGGAGAGTCTAACCCTAATCCTCTCGATGTATGTTGATTTGAATGAGATGTTTCTGAATGATCACAGATGGCCTCCTGGAGGGGGTAGAGGGCGCCTTATATAGGGGAGATGGAGTAGGGGCAAGGCATTGTCACGTCATCGATCCGCGTCAACTCTCTCGATCACCGTTGGGTAAACCGACTTAAAACCACCTTAGAATCAAGGGTCTAGATCTCAGAAACACATATAAGGCGGTGGAGAGCGAATGGGCTCTGGAGTGGGCTGGACGACCTCCCCACTGGGCCGACTGGCCTGCCACTTTGGCAAGTGGGCCTCCCCTTCGTGTGGTGAGTCCTGGACTCCGTCTTGAGTTGCCTTTTGTAGTTTTTGCAAGTTGAATCACTCGTTGTCGTCGGTTTGCTTGTTTGGAGTGTATGACAGTGGTTCCGGGGTTATTTTCTGGATAAATTCTCCTGCATACAAATATTCATCAAAACTTATGGAATCCATTAGTTTAAACTTCTATCCTATGCTTGATGATGGAATTAATTATTTATGCAGGTTATGTTGACTGTTTATGATGAATGTTAACTACCGTCAACAAACTCCCCCAAGCTTAACCTTT